GTGTCTGACCTTTTTGTCAACGCGTGTACACACACTGAGGTGTACCGCACTCCGCTCATTCCTGATCATGTTGGCTTTATCGAGTTGATCAAGGAAGCGTGCAATAATAATAGCCAAAGTTTTATACCGAAACTCGGCACGTTGCTGATCTTGGCCATACCAATCCAAATCATGCTCCTTGTGTGATCCACAAGTACATTTCCATAAGTTTATCGGTATATGAGGACAAGATGTAGCAACTTGTATATAAGAACCACTGGGATGTTTACTGGATCGGTCAAACTTAATACCGAAATGACAGAGTCTGATTCGTATAACGCTTAGCTTCAAATCTTCGATAACATCTTTGATCGGACCCTGTTTCCAGAAATACCCGGGTGGCCCCAGGATAACTATCTGCATTCTCAGAGCACGCGCTTTGATCAGGAGATTTTGTATACGTTGATAATGTGGTCCCGCCCTCTTTCCTGGAGTACGAACGTACCAATCAGAGGGTGTGGCCACCCACAACATATTGTAGTCTCCTGCCAACAAATTTCCCAAATACTGTGTTCCAGTTGAAGTCATTACCTCATTATGGGTAATCCGGTCGCATATATATCCACGGGTTCGGAGTTCAGCGCAAGCTGTGCGAATATCTTCGATGACGAGGCATTTTGAATGATATTTTTCTTCTCGGGCCTCAGCGCGGCCAACGTATGTCGCGAGGAGGCCGGTATTCGGCTTCTCTTCGCAAGCGAGCGCCGCCGGCGCGCCCGCCTGCCCCCGTCAGAGGGGCATGCTGTTAGCGGATGGCTCCGCAGGAGTCACTGGTGCGGCTGCGCTCACAGTCTCCACGCGGGTTGGCCCCGCAGAGTCCGACGAACCTCCGCCCGTGCAGCTTGGTGGTGGTGGCGGTGTCGCGGGTGACCCCGCTTGGTTCTCAGGCGTCCACTTATTCACCGCCTCCTGGACTGCCCAGAATATCTTAGACTTCAGGGCATCCTTCATGTGTGGCCAGGTCCCTTCAGGACACTGTTGGCCTTCCCACCAGCTGTTCAGCGTCCTGTCCACGATCGCACGGGTCGTGTCTTCCAGGAGCTGCTTGTCGAGATACGGCTCGACAATGTAAGCATCAGTCGTAACGGTCAGGGACTGTCCCATTGCGGGTTGCCCCGCTGTGGTCTCGGCGGGTGGCCCCGCATTGACGGAGTCCTCGTCGTTCTCCGTCTCGGTGTAGCCATCACGACTACTGCGGATTGTAAAGGTGTTCGTGACCGTCTGGCTTTTAGCCCCGTCATACAACCCGCATGGAATGGCTAGATGTCCTGAGGGGGTTTTCTTCGCCCTCAGGACCTTGGCGCCCTTCCCAGCTTAAGAGTATAATCTCCGCTGGGGAAGATAACCTTCTGGAAGCCTGGCTTCAGCACGATGATTGTGTCACGTGCTTCCATGGCGCCCAGGCCCCAGATGGCTGGGAGGTCTGCACCTGAGCCCTCTGCGATGTTGGAAGCATACTCCTCGATGCGGGGGCTTGCCTCATTGGCGTATTGCACCCCGATCTTGAAGTTGCCCATTTTCCGACAGATCGCAGCACCCTCACCGACACCGTTGATGTAGAGGGTTTTGCTCAGTGTGCATATGGCCGGTCTGTGATTGTACCTAGCCATAACCTCCTGGAAGGTTCGTGCTGTATTAGCTCCGATGATGTTCACGTTGGAGCCAATGTCTAGCATGAACGATATGCAGGGCATTCCGTCTTCGTCGGGGAAGAATGTCCCTGTCCGCGCCGCCAGAGCCATCGTACCATGGTTATCAGGATGGTACGTAATCTGTGAACCGAGCATGCCTTTCAGTAGGCGTTGTTCCAGCACCCACTGGCTCATTGTTAGCTCGGTGCACCATATTTGCTCATATTGGCGGCGCTCCTCCACGGTAATTGGTTCCTGTTCGAGAACCCAATAATTCGCAGAGAGTGTGGAGGTCCACTCACCTCCTGGCGGAAGCGTATCCGTGACGTCACGTGTGTAGGTCAGCCCTTCCGTGTTGATCATGAAGGTATTGTGGAATTGGGCTGCCTCCGCGCTCTCAGCACTGGCCCGGCTCCTAGCGCTTACCGGACTTTCTACACGTGAGGTTCTGGATCCGCCTCCGCTCCTGCCACTCCGCCTAATATTGGCCCCCATTGCCCTCAGGACTCCCGGATTCGGAGGTCCATCTGCGGGTGACCCCGCTTTGGCGGCAGGAGCCGCTTCGGCGGGTGGCCCCGCTGTGGCGGCGGGAGTCGCTTCGGCGGGTGACCCCGCTGCTGGGGGCCCCTGTGCTCGAAGCGTAGGCAGGATCGGCATCTGGATGCCTTGCTCTGGCGCTGCGGCTCGAGCCTCTAGCGCCTCCACTGCTTCCCGCAGCCGACGCAGTTCCCGAGCATCCACCACGTATCTTTCCTGCTGGCGCGCCTGTTCCGACTCAGCGTCGCGCTGTCCAGCATACGGAAAGTGTGCTGTGATTATGCCCGGCCCACGACATACAGCGCAGGGTGCCTCGTTTGGCGCACCTGGTCGCTGATTGCGGACGTGCTGCTGTGCAACACGATCCCAGCATATATCGTGGAAGAAGTGCCCACACGCCAGTCTCCACACCGTGGTGCCCATCTCGTAGGGGTCCATACAGATTGGGCACTGTGTGAAGTTGTAGTCTGAAATGACTGGAGTAGGCACGTCAGGGCGTGTCCGAGCCTGACGCTCGAAGGTAGTTTCACCCTCCCGATATGGCGTCGGTGGTGGCAGTCTATCTGTCTGTTCAGCGGGTGGCCCCGCGCCTGCGGGTGTCCCCGCTTGGTTATCACGCTCGATCCTTCTCTGGATCGCGCGCTGTTGGCGCAGCCTAGCGTTGTCCCGAGCCTGCTGCCTAGATGCCAGTATCGCTTGCTGCGTGTTGTGCACGTCGCGAATGTAATCTGGCATGCTGCCCAGAGCGGCTGGCACCGCGAGACCAGCTGGCTGAACTACGGTCTCGGGGTCCGTCGGCGTGGGCATGTAGGCGTAGTGCGGCATAGACTGCGCATCGACTGCTCGTGTATACTGCAAACGAAACATCTCATTGGCCAGATTTCGAGTGTATTCGTTTGCAGGTGGCCCCGCAATCATAGGAGTGTTATTCACCTGCGCGTAGTACTCCGGGTACATCGGCGCATCCATGGCCGGTGCCTCTGCTGGTCCATGATTATCCCATCCATATATCGGGTGTGATGCTATTCCTGGAATAAATACCTGTCGATATGGATTCGTGGGATCAGCATTTGGAGCGTCGTCAGAAGTCCAGCTCCAGAGAGGCCGAAAGTCGCCATGGTTCGTAACATCTATGTTGCGGTTCCGCAACAGGCTGGGCACTCTATCAGCTTGTTGCTGCAAAAAGGTAGCCTGTGCTCTCAAATTGGCTGCCCGACGTTCGTAGTCTGAACCTTGCTGTCCGTCAGCGGGTGGCCCCGCGTATGCGGATGACTCCGCAGGCATTCGCTCGGCGGGTGTCCCTGCAGCCACTCCTCCTTCACTACCCCTCGGAGTGCCAAAGGGAGTGGTTGCCTGGAGTGCTGCTGCGAGCGCCGGATTTCCGCGAATCGCCTGGAGTCGTTGCCACAGGCTGTTCTCACTCGTTTCAGATGGCGGAGTCCGAAACGGCGAGCCACCATCTGAGCCGCCCATAGGAGCAAACCTCGCAACTCCAGCTTGCTGTGGAGGGCGTTGTGGTTGTGGTCCTAGGATGCCTGGTGGCCCCGCAGGAGGGCGCAGGTTCCTCTGCTGTGCATCTTGGATGCCTGCATGCACCGCCCACGGGTCAGCACGGTCTAGCTGATCGGTCAGTCCAGAAACGTCGGCTGATGTCAAATGGCTGTTGAGAGCTTGGACCCAGGACTGCTGGTCCGGCCTCCAAGGAGATGCTACCGTCGCCACCGGTGTGACTACTTGCTGCCATGAACCGTCCGAGGTGCCTACCGCGGGTGTCCCCGCTCCTGCGGGTGGCCCCGCCTCAGGCATGACCTCGTCCTCCTGGGCATTCATCATGAGGACTGTCTGTGTGTCGTACGGTCGTGGAGCAACATCTTGCTCGGTCATGACCAAATTGAATGGACGACCGTCCGTCTTAGCCCAGCCCTTGAGGTACATGGCATGATCTTCCATTACCGCCACAGTTCTGTCACACATTTTAAGTGGCAGGTAGTCATCAGTGCGAATCCTGTCCGCGGGTTGGCCCCGCCTCCGCGTCTTGTCATAAAACAGCGGATTGGTCCAGGCTTCGCCGACCCGATACTTCGCAATGCTCACTATCTGGAGAATATGATCGGGCGGTATACGTCCATCGTGGCCCCGTGTCATGACTATGTCATTAGCTGATCTCCATAGAGAGAAGCCACTGGACAGCATCTTGTTGATGCTGCAGAATATGAGCACCTCCGAGTCAGGACGGATGCCCGATTGTATCCTCGGGTCGCCCGGGAGGTAGGGGCAGCCATGCACAAATTGGCGCCCCCCCTTCCTCTTCGGGTTGTCCTGTGCGAGGCATGACAGGCCATTAGCAAGGATGTCCTTGACATACTCCCACTGCGTCCCGTGGATGAAATATACTGGGTCGTCTGGTTCTTTCATCCATGTTGTGATCGGCTTGTACAGCGACTCGGGACAGTGGATGCCTGGACTGCTGTGGCCGTTCGTGGCTCTGATGAAGTACTGTGGCCTGCGTGCCGTTGGTCGAAACCTGGGAGGCAGCAGCATACTGTCATCAACGCACTTCATCTGGAGCCTGCCCTTCTGCATGCCGTGGTGGTCAACCATCTCACAGCAGTTTAGCAGTACCCAATACACGAATGACGGGTGGGGCCTGCCTTTGATCAGCACCTCGTGCATTTCACGATAGTGTTTATACTGATCATTTTCAGTCCAGTTTGTCAGCAGATCATCAACGACAACCCAGCCGTCGTATGGATCAAAAGTGCTGACCTTTTCGAAGTATCGATTATGTTTGTCCTTGTAATATGGACTGTGGCGTAGAGCCGTTGAAAACCACATCGACACCTTGGTCATCTGCTCTTTACTCGGCAAGGTTGGATCCATGCCGTTCTGTGTCATGACCTTCAGGAGTGCTTCTTTATGCTGCGCAGCGCGTAGTGGCGGCCTGTCTCGCAGCATGTTTCCCACTTTCTGTTGTTCGCGCTCCCAGTCGTTATGGCACTTGAAATTACGACGAACCGGACAATTAATGACTTCATATCGGTCCGTGTCGTCTGGAGTGACTCGTGGGTTGATGGGCTGCCTCGGGCCTTTGTCTACAATGCCTTGCCAATACAACTTGCATTCCAAAGGAATGACCCTCAGAACAGACATTATTGGCTGCCATGGTGCGGGTGGCCCCGCTAATGCAGCCGGCGGCGCTTTGGCGGGTGACCCCGCTAATGCAGCTGGCGCCGCTTTAACGGGTGGCCCTGCAGAACCTGCGGCTGACGAGGCAGCTCCTGCAGATGATTCCGCGCCAGGGTTCGGGCGACCTTTGTCAGCAGCTGCATCATCAGTCAGTTTCTGTTGGTCGCCAAACTCTTTGAGGACTCTGAAGCGTTCTTCTCTGGAGAGAGTGCCTTCTGCGGGTGTCCCCGCTGTTACGGCTGGCGCCGCTTTAGCGGGTGGCCCCGCAGAGCCCTTGTCCTCCTTAGCCTTGGCGGCCGCTTCTGCCCGCACCGACCTCATCCCAGCTTCGGGCTTCGGCTGCGCTTTCATTCGTGCCGAACCTGGTCGTGGTGCAAGGCGTGGCTGATGCAGTGTTGGAGTCCAGTCACCTCGGAACGCTGCCTTAGGCTTGTCGCGAGCTTCGTCCTTGACATCGCCTTGGGTCGCCGGCGGCATCGGGGTCGATGGTCCAGCAAAAGCCTTCTTCCTCTCTGTCACGGACGGACCGGGAGGAGCTGCCGGCTTAGGATCGTCCGTCTTGGCAATCCCCCTGGCCTTCGCCCGCTCATGTGTGCCTTCGGGGCTCTTGGACGGTTGCCTTTTCGCAGGAGTCGGTGAAGACGAGGAGTCGGCTTTAGGTCTTGGCGGTGGTCTGCTGCTCTTGCCTGGTCGTGGACCAGGAGGGTCTCTAGGAGGGCCTTCTGGCTGGCCATGATCATGGATGACCTGCCTCATCTGGTCGATGTCGGCAGTACCCTTTATGGCCAGCTTGTATTTGCCATTCTCATGGCGGTGGAGTACCCTCGTGCAGAACCACTTCTGCGCCGAAGAGCTGTAGTACCAGCAGGCGCTTCCGTCAGGGAATGGATTCTCTGAACCGTCTTCCGCCGCCCACTCTTCATTTAGCTCGGTGCGGTCAGTGCCGGCGGCGGACCCGGCAGCAGAGGCAACGTCTATCCACTCGTCCGCAGATCCAGCGGCTGGTGCTGCTTCTGCGGGTGACCCCGCTTCCTTGCTGGATTCTGCGGGTGACCCCGCTTCCTTACTGGATTCTGCGGGTGACCCCGCTTCCTTACTGGATTCTGCGGGTGACCCCGCTTCCTTATGGAATCGGCGGTTCCATTCCTTGAGGCGGTGGTCATTGGGAAGCTTTGCCCAATTTTCCTTGACGGTGTTGGCCACCTCTTCGGTCATAGGGACGCGATCGGCCTCTGTGATGCGCTTTCCTCCTCCAGGAACCTCTTTGTTCGGATCATGGACGTTACCCGCGTCGTCTCCATGAGACCAATTCCACGGGGTTTCTCCATGGTGAGGGCTCCTGGAGGGGCGGTCCATCGGACACCTGCGCATGTGGCCTTTGAAGGGCTCACACTGACATACTTGCTTTCTGTACGTTTTGCGGTCAGTGATGATCTCCTGCTTCTTCGCCCTTTTGTCCCAGGCCTCTGGCGTCTTGGTCTTGCCGCCCTTGGTACGGATTATCGCGCCAGTCTCGTCCCTTTTGGTACAGTATTCCTTAGAATACCAGTGCCGAAGAGTATCCATAGAGTAGCCGGGGTACCATCTTATGTACCAATCCGGCACCTGCTGAGCAGATACTCCAACGGAGTGCTCAGTGCTGTATGGATAGCCCGATTCATCATGCGTAGGGCGTCTAGGAGCTGAGCGGCTCCTTCCGCGGGCTGGCCCCGCTGACGCACTACCACGTGTCACTGGCCTTTGATCGTCATGCTCTGGGTCTCGGGGAGGCGACGGTCGCCTGTCCCTCTTGGCGTACCGCATGTCCTCCGAGTCCTCTGAGCTGTCCTGGACCATGAACACGTTTTGATACGGGCTTCTGAAGTATCCGATGTCATTTAACTGCTCCATCGAGAGGTCGTTAATGTTCATTTGATCGCAACCTTGCATGAATACATCCATAGACCAAGCGGGTGGCCCCGCTGTTGTGTCTAGCATCTCTTCGGCGGGTGACCCCGCTAGAGCTTGGAGTGCTGTAAGCATCTGAGATGCTGACATGTTCGAATCCAAGTATGGACGTAGACGGGCAACTCCTGGGTGCGACAGCAGTTCGTTCATCGTCATCTGCTGCTGTGCTGGCGCACTCAAGAGTCGGATTGCTTCTGAAACCTGCTCTTGGAGCATGTCGTTATAATCTTCTTCGGATTCTTCGGAGTCGGAATACGCGGGATGGCCCCGCATTTCGTCATCGGCGTCTCCCATCTCCGAGCCAGCCCACGACGGATTTGGCAGCAACGGCATGCCAATCACTTGTGGGGCCAGCGCGGCGGTGAGTTCTTCCTCTGTTGCCGGGACAGTCTCGGCTTCGGAGACCTCGTCACCGGCGGGTGGCCCCGCTGGAAGACCGAACCAAGCGTTGTGCGCAATCTCATCGACCTCGTCCCAGCCGTGGAACTCGTCGAAGAGGGTCACTGCGTAGTCTTCCAGGGCCACAGTTGCTTCAGCATAGCGGGCCATCACGTAATACGTGGAGGAGCCCGCAGCGGGAGCCGCTTCTGGATTGACGTAAAACTCGTAGTCAATGTAATCTATGTCATCCATAAAAGAATTTTGAGCCAAGTGTACGGATCCCTTTCCTTTCCCCTTCGGGCATTGATCGCGCAAATGCTCTGTGCTACCGCATGTATGACACTTCATAGTATTACCAGAAGCGTCCCTAGGGTTGCCCCTCCGCCCCTTTCCCTTACCGGAGGTCCGCCTGTGACCCCGACCTTTGCCTCCGATAAGAACTTCTTCAAAAGCCATATCAGTTAAGGACGTGAGGAAAGCAGTAATACCCCTACCATGCATACGGCGTCTGCGACCCCCTTTACCACGACCCTTTCCAAATTGTTTGAAATGTCGGCGTACTGCACGTCTCACCTTTCTGACTGGTTTCTTCATAAAGCGCCTCCAACGGCGTTTTGATTTGCGATAAGCCATAAAGGCGGCTTCCGCCCTTTGCTGTTCAGAAAGGTGAGTGTCGTCCGCTGGATAGTCATTACCAGCAGAGACTATTCCATTGTGCTCATCGTCAGATGAAGTATCTGTGTCAGTGCCAGATTCAAACGGTGAGGGTGGCTGAGACCATTGAGCGGATGACTCCGCTTGGCCCCAGAGGGTTGTGCCCGAGGGCGGGCTTGCAGTGTAGGCGGCGCCTGGCGAGTAGTTCGACCAGGCGTTCGCCTCAGCTGCCTCTGCCGATGCCTGGCCGGTCTGCCCTAGAAGGGCAGTGGCCTCGTTGGGCATATCGGCTGGGTCAGCCCAGGGATTTGGCTCGCCAGGACCAGCGGGTGACCCCGCAGTCGTGGCGTAGACACCTGCATGTGAGTGGTGCCCTGTGAAGATACCCGCTATGTTGCCAGGAGAGCGCTCGGCAACATGTCCGTAGTTCCTCATCCTGGTCAGCAGCCTGTCATAGTCTGCTTGTGTTCGGGGCATCTGATGATTGAAGGGCTCAAGCAGGTGTTGGGCTCGTGACGCGCCAACGCCTAACGCTCTGAAGAGAATCAGCGTTAGGATCTGAAAGTTGGGGATGACAAAGCCAACAGAGTTAGCCTCGTCACGGGCCATCTCGAATCGAGCTAATACTGAGTCGATTCGCTCGCCCCTTTCGACGCGGAAGTCGATAAGGGCCGTGCCAGAGTTGAGCTGGCGCTCATCTTCCAGATTTTCAAATTTGGTGCTCAGTAAGTACAGTATGTAGGTTACTGCATCCGTTGGCTGTCCATTGACAGTTACACCATAATTGATGATCTGGGAGGGGACCTGCATGGCGATACGACGAGCCAGACCCTGAAGGCCTCGTTGTAGTGCTGCAGCTTGTTGTGGTGGTGTCATATTGCCGCTCGTTACGTTTAACCATGCATGTACTTCGCGAACGTATTCGCGGAAAGGCGTAGTGCCGGCAGGGTCCCATGTAGGGCCAGTAGTACGCGTGTCGTCCATCCCCTGCCGCATGTATCCCACAGCACATCCCATCATCACCCATAGAATGCCGAAGATAGTTATCTTGATCCAATGCATATGCATTTCGGCTTCGGTGATTGGTTTAGGCTGTGGTTTGTCAGGCTCTGGCGTGGTAGCCGTGAGGCGCCTGACCGGCACGGGATGCAGGTGGCCCCGCTGCGGGTAGCCCCGCAGGGTGACCACGTTCTCGATCGAGTTGCCGATTGGCATCTGGTGGAAGTCAGGAGTGAAGTAGCGCAGTGAAGTAGGAGAAAGCGTCTCGAGTTCGCGGGTGACCCCGCTAGCTCGATCGCGGACTGGCTCCGCTCCTCGCAGAGCCGGCGCAACATGGTATTCCACCGTGGTAGTAGTCCACCAAGTTGTGCCGTGGATTACTGGAATCAGAGCGAGAGCCAGCCACACGAGAGTGTAGCCAGCTCCGCTACCAAGTCGAAAACAAGCTGGTAAGCTTAGGTATACAGTCCGCCTTAGGCGCTTCCATATCCCAGGCTTAGGCTCATAGCGCATGAGCAAGAGAGCGAGACGAAGCATGGGATCTGGAGTAAAGAGTAAGATGGGCATCGTCAATGGAAAGGATGTTTTCCGATCTCAGATGCAAGTAGTGCGCCTCGGTGAGGCACAGTCACATATTATGCCGGGCCCGGCTTGAGCCAGGCACGGCAGCGGTACATGCTCGATTTATACCTCGCCTTTAACCTTCTCCGTTTAAAGTGGGTGTCCCTCGG